GCAGGTCAACTGCTCCTGATATTTCACGTTGGTGGAATAATCCCCACCTAGGATTGCTTGGAGTCCAGCGAATAATGCCAGGTAATAATAATAAATATATGTGTATAAAAAGATAAGTGGTACGATAAAAGATTACCAAATATACTTTAATTATAACATTACACTTAAACGCGTTTCGCCAATCGGCGTTATCAATATGGGTACACCATATTGATAACGCCGATTGGCGAAACGCGTTTATGGTTTTTATATTGTGTAAATATTGTATTGTGGCTAGTGCCAATATTGCAGTAATACTGGCAATACAAATGCTGGTATTTTTCTCAGTGTAAACAAGAGATTACTATGCAATACCAGCACTGGCCAGTAGGGGTCGCTGTATGTGGAGACAGGCAGGGATAGGAAGTTCCAGCATATCCCTCCCTGCCTATCTATACTCACTGATGCAGGGGTGCAGCTACAGAGAGTCCAGACAGCAACTCCCACCCTGCAGAGACAGCCTACAGCTCAGGGAAGTAAAGGATGGGGGGAAAGGCTGCAAGGAGACATACATTGGGAGACATTATGACACAGACACATGCGGACACAGTGTCCCCATGTCTCCCAGCCAGTGTCCCTGGTGTCTCAGTGCCCCCTAGTCTCCCAGTGACCCCTAGTCTCCCAGTGTCTCACTGTCCCCATGTCTTCTAGTGCCTCCATGTCTCTCAGTGCCTCAAGTGTCACAATGTCCCCATGTCTCCAAGCTAGTGTCCCTAGTGTCTGTGTCCCTGGTGTCTTCGTGTCTCCATGTCTCCCAGTGCCCCTATGTCTCAATGTCCTCATGTCCCCAAGCCAGTGTCTCTAGTGTCTGTGTCTCTGGTGTCTGTGTCCCCATGTCTTCAAGTGTCCCCTATTTCCCCATTGTCCCCATGTGTCCCAGCCAGAGTCCCCTAGTCTCCCAGTGTCACTGGTGTCTCCGTGTCCCTAGGTCTCCCCATGTCCCCAGTGTCACGACAGTGACCCCTTCACACAGATGGTAACCGAGAAATGGACATATACCGGACCTTAGGGTGGCCGGACTTAACATCAGAGAATAGTCAAAAGAAAAGAGGATCAAGGGAGTACGGAAATCGGGATAAACAAGAAAGCTAAGCCAAAAGTCGGGAAGCCAGATAGGAGAATCGTCAGTAAGGAAGCCAAGGGTCCAAATACCAGAAAGACAGATAACTAAGTTTAAGAGCACCAGAGGAACAATCAAGAACCACACTAGGGCACTGAGGGGTGGACAGGGATACCCTTTTATACTGATGTGTGTGTCACTTTAAAGCCACGCCCCCAAAAGGTCCGGGAGCGTGACCGCGTTTGAATTTTCGCGGCAAAACTATCATGACGTCGGCGCGCATGCGCCGCGTCATAAAACTGATTTTGCCGCGAGCGGGCAGCGTCTGACAGGCTGCGCCGCCTCCCGGAAGCAGCCGGGGGAACCGCCGTGCTGCGCGGGATCGGCGGACACAGGTAAGGTATCGTCACAGTACCCCCCCCTCGAGGACCGACCCCAGGGCGGGGAGGACAGGGCCCGCGAGAACGATGCCTAGGAAAGGAACGGACTAGGCGAGGCGCGTGCACGTCCGAGGCATCCACCCATGACCTTTCCTCCGGGCCGTATCCCTTCCAATCCAATAGATACTGGAGCCGACCTCTAGAGACACGAGAGTCAAAAATTGATTTAACCTCGTACTCGTCTTGGCCATAAATGAGTGTAGAAAGAGGAGTCCTGGGTTTCCGAGTAAAGCGATTACAAATCAAAGGTTTCAGAAGAGAAACATGAAAGGAATTGGGTATCCTCATATTAGCCGGTAAGTCCAGGCGATAACAGACTGGATTAATCCGTTGGAGGATCCTAAAAGGACCAATGAATCGCGGAGCGAATTTCATAGAGGGAACTCGTAATTTAATTGCGTGTACTCAACCACACTCTATCCCCTACTATAAAATTCGGAGCATTTTTGCGCCGAGTGTCCGCTTTACTTTTTTGAGCATCGGCCTTTTGAGTCAGGATACGCTTGACCCCTATCCAAGTTTCTTTCATATTCTTTACAGTGTAGTCAACGCTTGGCACTGCCGAGGATGAAAAGGAACTCGGAAGAGTAATAGGGTCAAAGCCATAAGTTATAAAAAAGGGGCTATGTCGTGTCGACTCGTGAACCCAGTTATTGTGGACGAATTCAGCCCAAGGGAGTAACTCCATCCAATCATCTTGGTGATCGGAGATGAAGCAGCGAATGTACTGTTCTAGTGATTGATTCATTCTCTCTGTAACTCCGTTGGATTGGGGATGGTATGAAGAGGAGTGATTAAGTTTGATACCCAACTGATCACAAAACGCTTTCCAAAACCTGGAAATAAACTGTGAGCCTCTGTCAGAGACTATATCTGTAGGGATACCGTGTAAACGAACCACCTCTCTTATAAATATCATGGCCAGTTCGGAGGATGAAGGAAGTTTAATTAAAGGGACTAGGTGGGTCATTTTGGAAAATCTATTGATGATAGTTAGGATTACCCGGTGATTTTTTGAAGGTGGCAGGTCTACTACGAAATCCATGGCAATACTCGACCATGGCATTTCGGGAATAGGCAACGGCATGAGGAGGCCTAAAGGGCGACTTTTAGGAGATTTATTAGAGGAACAGATGTTACAGGCTAGGACATATTCTCGGACGTCCTTCTTGTAAGAGGGCCACCAGAATTGCTTTTCGAGTAGTGCTTCTGTCTTATGGATACCGGGATGACCGGCAATCTTAGAGTCGCGTACCAAGGATAGGATTCGTCTTCTATAATTTAAAGGTACGTATAATTTCCCCTGAGGGATAGTTATGGAGTTGTGGTCTTGGCATTTGGACAATACTTCCATTAAGCTAGAAGAGATTTTAGTATGGACTGTGGCGACTATTTGTGAAGTAAGGATTATGGAAGATAAATGGGTTACTGGAGGAGATAGGTGCTCATGTTGTCAAGATAAGGCATCTGCTTTCGTATTCATAGAACCGGGTCTGTACGTCACTATGTAGTTAAAACGTGTTAGGAACAAAGACCAACGAATCTGCCTGTCAGACATTCTTTTTGCCTCTCCAAAATAGGAAAGTTTCTTGTGATCAGTGAGGATGATGATCGGTTCAGATGACCCCTCTAATAGATGCCGCCATTCTTTGAGCGCTGAAATGATAGCCAACAATTCCCTATCTCCTATATCATATCTCCGTTCTGTTTCCGTCAGTTTTTTAGAGAAATAGCCACAGGGATGCAGGGGTTGATCATTCGAGGATCTCTGAGAGAGTACAGCCCCTATCCCTGTCTCTGAAGCATCCACTTCTAACAAAAAAGAACGCAAAGGATTAGGGTGACTTAACACCGGGGCTGAAGAAAAGGCTAGCTTCAATTTTTCAAAGGCTTCCTTAGCTTCGGTACTCCACACCGTATAACTTCTATTCTTCTTTGTCATAGCGGTAATAGGAGCGGTAATAGAGGAAAATCCTCTGATAAACTTTCTATAGTAATTAGCGAACCCCAGGAAACGTTGGATGGCTTTAAGTCCAATGGGTATGGGCCAATTTAAAATTGCTTCCAGTTTTTTAGGTTCCATTTGAAAGCCTGAACCTGAAATTATGTAACCCAAGAAATTAACCTTCTCCACGTCAAACAAACATTTTTCTAATTTACAGTAGAGTCAGTTTTTCAATAATTTAGATAGAACTATCCTAATGTGTCTATGGTGCTCTTTGATATTCTTAGAGTAGATGAGTATGTCGTCTAAATAGACAACAACAAACGTTTGTAGATAGTCCCTTAATACATCGTTTATGAAATCTTGAAAGACTGCCGGGGCGTTGCATAAGCCGAAGGGCATAACCCTATATTGATAATGGCCATAGCGAGTATTGAAAGCCGTTTTCCACTCATGTCCCTTCTTAATTCGAACTAGATTATAAGCTCCCCATAAATCTAGCTTAGTGAATACGGTTGCTCCCTTCAACCTATCAAAAAGCTCAGTAATGAGCGGAATTGGATATGCGTTTCGTACTGTTATTTTATTTAATCCCCGATAGTCGATGCAGGGTCTCAAGTCACCTTCCTTTTTGGAAACAAAGAAAAACCTGCACCAGCCGGGGAGGATGACTTGGTAATAAAACCCTTCTTCAAATTCTCTGTGATGTACTCTTCAAGTACTTTGTTTTCTGTCACAGAGAGGGGATACACGGTACCCCTAGGGGACATAGTACCGGGTAACAATTTAATAGCGCAGTCGTAAGAACGATGGGGTGGTAATTTGTTTGCTTCCCTTGGTTCAAAGACTGCCTTGAGATCCTGATATGGTTCGGGTACTCGAGTGGTTAATGGTTCCATGGTAGGAACGTTGAGGAGTCCTATAGGTTTACTTCGACTGATACACTCCTTAAAACAAGAGTCACCCCATTTCACAATCTCTTTTCTCTCCCAGTCAATTAGAGGATTATGCTTGGTAAGCCAAGGAAACCCAAGTATAATCAGAAAGGTGGGAGAAGGTATTTGCTGTAGGGTTATGGTTTCTTTATGTAACAAACCTACAGTCAAGACTAAGGGTTTGGATTCTTGAGTAATAAAAGGAATGGATAGTGGTCTACCATCTATGGCCTCAACGGCCAAGGGTGTTGATCTTTCTCGAAATGGGAGGTTGTGATGCTGGCCGAAAGTACGGTCGATAAAGTTCTCAGCTGCCCCAGAATCTATCAGCGCAGAGGTAATTATTATCTTTCCCTCCCATTCTATGGTTATCGGTAGAAGAAACCTGAGTTCTTTCCTGTCTTGGAAGGAGGACATACACGTTACACCCAAGGCCTGTCTTCCTTGAGGGCTTAGGCGTTGGAGTTTTCCGGCCTGCTTG